TAATTCAAATTCCATCGGATTCTATTATGTAAACAAAATGGCACCTTAACTGGGAGCAATTTTTTTTCTTTTTCAATTTAATAATAAAATAATATATTTTTGGTTTAATTTTATAATATTTTATAAATATAATAATTAAGATTATGTTAAACTCGGTGATTATCCTAAATCTTAATTATATTTTAAATTTTTATATTTAAAACAAAATGTTTATTCTGTATCTGATTATGTTTATCTGCAATTAGTTATACGAAACTCAAAAAAATTAATAAGTTGTACTTACATACAATTACTTTAAATCTTGAATTTTAAGTAATATGCATCAATAAACAGTACTTCATGTATAAAAAATGATTTTTTAAGAGTTTTTGTCAAATGTTTTATAATATAGTATAGATAAAAAGTTAATTTTCTCTATTTTAGAAAATTTTCATAATGGTAATTCTTACAAGTTGATTTACTTTTTGCTCATAAGAACCTTGTATTGGGGATGTTCTTAATTTGGTAAACATAAATAATTGGAAGGACTGAACAGGATAATAATAAATAGTTTATATTTTGATTAGTTTGTATAATCAATTAGATTATCTATACTATATTATAAAGCATTTGACAAAAACTCTTAAAAACTATTTTTTATGCATGAAGTACTATATATTGATGCATATTTCTTAAAATTTAAGATTACAAGTAAATTATGTATAAGTACAATTTATTAAAGCTCCATGTCTGAATTCGTGTAGCTAATGGCGGATAAACATAATCAAATAGAGAATAAATATCTCATTTTAAAATATAATTTTTTTTAAATATAATTAAGATAATTATCGAGTTCTAACAGATACATTATCTTTATAAAAAATTTATTGTTAAGCAAAAAATAAATTATTTCACTATTTGACATAAATTATAAAAAACAAGAACTTTTAAAATAGTTAATTTGATATTAATATCGATATATTTAAAAAAAATTACAATGTCTTCAAATTTATTTTTATTAAAAAGTAAAAACATTATCGTTCTCAAAACTACATAAACCATATTATATCAACAAAAACATAAAATAAAACGAAACATTAAAATGAATATGTATCTCGCTGCATTGTACGAGTACCTTCTAGTGATATTTTATAAAAATACATATCATTAAAAAGTTCATGTCAAGACAATTAAAATGTTTGGTAATTTTCAATTTTTATTTTATACATTATTTATTATTAATATTTAATAAATTAACCAAAATATAGAAAACATATAAAAATAATATTTTGATAATAATAAAATAAAAGTTTAAAGAAGATAAAATAAATATTTAAATTTAAAAATGGATAAAATATAAGGAATGAGACATATATGATGTTTTAGACTATAATTATTATTTATTTTAAAATGGCATTGGTAAAATATACGTTTGTTTCACCTTTGCTTCATGGATAAAGACGAAACACCCATGTTTCACTTTATTTTTGTTTGTTTCATGTCAAACATAGAACAATGATGTCAAAGACCTTCCAGCCTAGTGGTAAAGGTTTGGGCATAGCATAGTCATGAACCCGAGTTCAAGCCCTGGGAGAGGAGTGTTGGCGACATTTAAGTGGGGCCATGTTTAGCCTCCAAATTTGTCGGGGATTAGTCGGGCTTTGGCCCGGACACCCTTACAAAAAAAA